CTCATCTTTCTCCCCACTCTTCTCCTCATCCTCCGACAACAAAGTAAACAAGCCTCTCTCTCCAATGTCTGCCACTGCACTCTTACAAAAAGCTGCACAAATGGGATCCACTAGAAGCAACTCCACCACCGCTCCGTCCTTCTTCGCCGGCCCAACAATGACTTCATCTTCATCGGCCGCTTCTACTCCTCCTGCTCCTCCTAGATCGTCTTCTCCAATGATGATCCAACAAAAACAACAACTCAACAACAACTTCAACACCAATGTCTCAAGAGAGAACCACAATCTTGCTCCTCCTCTCATTGGTGTAACCACTAGTATTGTGGATAATAATAATCCGTTTCAATCGAACCGGTCGGGTCTAAACCAGGTTCAACAGATGGGTCTAACCCGGGATTTTCTTGGAGTGAGCAACGAGCATCACCCTCACCAAACTGGTCGTCGACCGTTTTTGCCTCAAGAACTCGCAAGGTTTGCTCCATTGGGTTGATTTTCTGTTTTAACTATATCTGGTTCACAGCATATTTAAACCGGATCAAGAGAAAGATGTGGGGAGGACAACTTTTTGGGTTTAGGATTGGAAGTTTCTTTGAGGAGACAAGTCTAAGAATCTTACCACCTTGTGAAGCGGTCGGAATGTGGGGACAAAGGTTGACAAGACATCATCATATCAATTTACATTAAATAATATGTACTTTTACTATGTTTATGATGATGATCATCATCATATATATATATATCTGCACCATGGCATGCATGAATTTGTATTTTGCGACATTGTCGTTTTGTAAATTTTATTTCTTTTCGTTATTATAATTTGACATTCAGAAATTTCGCCCTTGTAATCTTCAGGCTTTTTGAACTTGGTTTTCTAGAAGATATTGCTTTTCATTTTCATCGAACGAAATTAGAATGTAGTGAATACGAAAAAAAATTGCGTACCTCGTCAATATGATAAATATCCCAAAGAATTGTACGTCGTCCGGGACATCAGTTCTACAAACAAAATTCATAAATCTATAGATATAATACTCTTAATTTAGATATATCAGCATTTTCCAACAAAACGTTCTCCAAGACACCACAAAGTCGCTTCATAAAATTTCGACAAATTAAAGTAAACTCAAATTTGAAGAATAATTTATGTTTTTTTTTTTTTTTGACATCTAAAGAACATCTTTATGTTTACATAACTCTCTTAAATGCTTATATAAAAAGGGACGCTACTGTTGAAATTACCTTTCAATAGGTACTTGATCCAAACTCAAGTTATCGAGATGTGAGTCAATGTTTCTTTGGATTCTGCATAAACTAAAATATCTTAACTGATATCAGCTAGAATTTTCAGTAGACCAATAGGCCATGTCTTTATTTTGACTTATCTCTAACTCCACACGAGATAGAAAAATACGAAGTATGTCGTTTTGTGGTTCCATGCATTATTCCTTTTCATTGTCAAAGACTAAAAATATAGAACTAATGTTTTTTTCCCCTACCTACCAATTACTAATTATACTTAGTGCCACTAAGGCACTAACTATAAGCTAGTAATGTAGGATTCATGAAGCACCATATTTTTATATTGGACACTGTATACGTTATTTGAACTATTAAAATAGCTAGTTTTAAATTTTAAAACTTTACTTCTGAGTAAAATTTTAAAACTTCTTTTCTTCTATAATGACGTTTTGAAAAAACGATAGAGATAATAATCTAATTATTATTTAGAATTTTAGATTGTATGCTTTACCGGTACATCAAAAAGTCAAAGTAAATGTTGATTTTCATCTAAGAAACGTATTTTCCTCCAAATCATGATAATTAAAAGAAACTCGATTTAATTCGTTCATGGATTTCATACGTTTTTGTTAGCCAGCAGAATATCCCTATACCGGTTAAAGTTTGCTTCTGATCCGGTTATTTACACTGACATTTGAGACCCATCAAATATGATCTTAGCCCCATATTAATCACTTCAGGTTTACATGGTTGGCCCTTTTAGGCCCAAGCACAAACTCCTATCTATCTTGCATTATCTCAATAGGGCCTAAGAATCCAGTATCTTACGTGGCAAAGCTAGGCCAGCGTGTAAATACTTAGTCATACGTGTTAGGTTTTTATTGGTAACGATATGGGAAAGTGGGACCCATATAAAACAGATTACACGTGGAGAATATTGATTGGATGGAACAACGTGTTGTTACTAGTTACACTTAAAAAACATGCAAATCAAAATCAAAAGCTTCAAATTCGATCGAGGACGATAATAATCCGAAAACACGAATTCGTGTGAGCTTGAATCAAAAGATTCGTCTTCTTCTCTCGTCTCTCTGATTCTGAATATTCCATATATGTGGACGTAACTTAGCATATACACACAAGTGTAAAGTATATGTGTTGAAATCGAGGATGGATCTGTTCCGAGTCTGGTCAGGTATGGATTTCTTAGCTTGGAGAGGAATGGCGTACACACTTCTTCTGCTCAACTTTGTCTTCGCTTGCCAACTTCTTCTTCTTCAACCTCTCGTATCCGCTTTAGGTAAATTTTCTGGATTCTCCCATTTTCGTTTCGTTTTCCTTTGGTAAAATTGATTTTAGTTGTTTAGTTGATTTGGGAATCTTAGGGATTGGTAAGTAATGGTAGACCACCGGCGAATTGCTTCTACATTTTTCTGGATTTTTTATTTCTCTTGTGCTGGGTCTTGTCGCAATCTCCGGCGCTATGTGGATATTGAGGTTCCCTGTGATGGTATCGGATTCGAGATTAGGACTCTGTTTCTTAGGGTATTGAAACATAGTTAATTCCTTCGGAGTGAAAATCGACAGACTTTCTTGCTCCACATTACGAATTGATCAAATTTGGAAACTATGTTATGAGAGTGAATGCGTTTTTGTACAGTCGTTGTTTTTTTCTTTTTCTTTCTAATGTTTACATATGTTATCATTGCTGGTTATTTTGTACAGATGGCCAATCTGTAGATGCTGCTGAGTTATTTGAGAGAGCTTCACAGAGTATCAAGGTCAAGCGTTTCAGCGATGCCCTCGATGATCTAAATGCAGCCATAGAAGTAGACCCTGCACTTTCAGAAGCTTATTTTAGGCGTGCATCTGTGCTTCGTCATTTTTGCAGGTACAGAAATGGCAAAAGGTTTCATCTTGGTTTGGATTCGTTTTTTATTGAAATACTTGGGTGGAAGTTGAATTCTCTTGTCTTTTACTGTGTTTAGATACGAAGACTCTGAAAATAGCTACCAGAAATATTTAGAACTGAATCCAGGAGATCCAAATGCGGAGAAAGAGCTATCTCAGCTTCATCAAGCTAAGAGTGCATTGGAGACCGCGTCGACTCTCTACGAATCAAAGGACATTGGGAAGGCTCTGGAATTTGTTGACAAAGTTGTTCTTGTCTTCTCCCCAGCTTGCTCTAAGGTTTTCTTCTTTCTTTATTTTCTTTATGGTTATTTGCAATAAATTTTAGTACTCTCTGGTCATACAGTTCTTATCGTTTACATATCTACATTTTTTTTTCACTTCAGGCAAAGCTTCTTAAAGTCAAGCTCCTTATGGTGTCTAAAGACTACTCAGCTGCAATTTCCGAGACTGGTTATATTCTCAAGGAAGATGAAAATAACCTTGAGGCTCTGCTCCTTCGTGGCCGTGCCTACTACTATTTAGCAGATCATGATGTCGCCCAAAGGTTTGGCCTAACTTCAACCCAATTTCCAATCATAGATTTGGATCTAAAACTGATATACCTGAGTAAACTCTCTGTTTCAGACATTACCAAAAAGGGCTTCGTCTTGATCCAGAACACAGTGAACTGAAGAAAGCATATTTCGGATTGAAAAAACTGCTCAAGAAGACAAAAAGCGTGAGTCCTGAAAACCTCTTTGTCTTCCTATGACACTGAGTTTTACCAGACAATCATTGTGGTGAAAACCTGTGCTCTATTGCAGGCAGAAGATAATGCAAACAAAGGAAAATTGAGAGTTTCAACAGAGGACTATAAAGCAGCTATAGCTCTAGACCCTGAACACACTGCACATAACGTTCATCTCTATCTTGGACTATGCAAGGTCTCAGTTAGGCTCGGCCGCGGAAAAGACGGCTTAAATAGCTGTAATGAAGCGCTTAACATTGATCCAGAACTGATTGAAGCTATACATCAGGTTCTTATCTAAAGTACTGAGTCGAAAAATTCATTATTTTTATAAGAGCAAACAGGTTTCTGATTACTACTTTCTCAGAGGGGAGAGGCTAAACTGTTGCTAGAAGATTGGGAAGGCGCTGTGGAGGATTTGAAACAAGCCGCTCAAAACTCTCAGGTTTGTTAAAGATTAGTTTGTATAATCTTCAGTGTGTATGATACTCTTTTTCGTAACTTGTATCTTTTGGACTTAGCACATATCTAATTGTATCAGGACATGGAAATTCACGAGGCACTTGGTAGAGCAGAGAAAGCACTGAAGATGAGCAAACGAAAAGACTGGTATAAAATTCTTGGAGTTTCCAAAACCGCCTCAATCTCTGAAATTAAACGAGCCTACAAAAAGCTCGCTTTGCAATGGCATCCTGATAAAAACGTCGACAATAGAGAAGAAGCTGAGAACAAATTCCGAGAAATCGCTGCAGCTTATGAGGTTCTAAACAAAAGTCTACAAATCTCTTCATATTATTTAACACACACACACACAAACACACAGTATATCTAAACCGTAAATTGATCAGGTTCTTGGAGACGACGATAAGCGGGCGAGATTTGACAGAGGAGAGGATCTTGAAGATATGGGTCGAGGTGGCGGCCATGGAGGATTTGATCCATTCGGTGGTGGCGGTGGTGGTGGGTACACTTTCCATTTTGAGGGCGGTTTCCCCGGTGGTGGTGGTGGTTTTGGCGGTTTCGGTTTCTAACTTGGACATGAAGTAATCATGTAACTTAAGACTAAACTTTCTTTCAGATTATACTCAAAACACATTTTGCTTTCTTTCATCAAGAAAAATTTTGTGCAATCGCAATCGTAATGTTGTCTCATTTTGAATCAAAACAATAACATGATAACACAATTCTATAACACAATCTCAAATTACAACAAAATTTAAAGCTCTCATCGTTATTCTTATAATCCAATGTGGAGACCCGAGAAAAGCTCTCTCTCTCTCTCGGGTCATATCCACAGAGAAGAAGAAGCAGCAATGGCAGCCACTGTGGCGATTAACCCGAATCCAAATCTCTCTGCATCAGATGAATCAGTAGAATCTCCTCCACCGTCGCTGCCAGAAGCTGAACCAGTCGTAACCGAGCCACCTTTCTCAGGCGCCGGAGCAGGAGCTGAGCTTGACCCAAACATCGCTAAGGGCAGCAAAACTTGATCGACCTGATAAACGGCGAGCTGCTTATCGCTGTAGACAGAGTTAGCCACGGTGGCGCTAACAACACCGGTGGTGATGTTGACTTGATTACCGGAGCTAGTGATGTTAAGAGGGAATTTACCGTTTTGCCCATCACCAGCTTGCGTGCGCAAGGGATTACTAACGGTTTGAAATTGAGGCATGGTAAGGAGTGTAGGAAGGACATGGAACTGAACAAGCTGAACCTTTTGCTGGTCAGATAATGAGTTTAAGGTTCCGGATTTGAGGCTGCTAAAGGCGTTATCGGTCGGGGCAAACACGGTTAGGCCTTGGCTCGAAGAAGAATTGATCTGAGTGTTGATTTGGTCTGCGGCTTGGGTGCTCTTGAGGAGTCTTATGAACATTGTGAATTGACCGGCTTTTTCTAGGACTGCGGTTATGTTGGTTGGACCTGAAGGGGCTGGAGCTGGAGCCTGACCATTGGTTGTAGCCATCACAAGGAAGAAGATAAAGAGATTAGAGGAAATGAATGTTCTTGAAGCAGCCATTGTTCTTTTTTGTGTGTGTGTGTGTGTGTGTGTGTGTGTGTGTGTTGAGAGGTTTTGGGCTTTGTTATATAGAGATATGTAGTTTGGTGAAGAGTATGACTCTCTTGCTAGTCTGAAGATTATTACTTAGTAACTAAAACAAATTCTTTCAATCAATCCAACAGTGATTAGAAATGTTTTTAGGTTAAACTTACAAAAGTTTGTTTAAAATGAGAGTGAGAGAGAGATTGCTTTGAAGGGAGAGGTTGAGTGGTTGAGGATTGAAAATGAAGAATAAACTGAAAAAGGGTTATTGCGATCTGTCAAAAGCTGTGAAGAAGTGTTATTCAAGTAATATGGGATTGCAAATCATACTACTCATTATGATTTATGTGTCATGTGTATCATCATGTGATGTAAGAAAACAAAAAAACTTTTAAAAAAATGACGAAAGAAAAACATAATTGGATGATAATACATTGCAACATTTTTCATAATCTTCTAACTACTCCTTTTGATATCGAATTATCTTTGGAATTAAAAATGTGAAACAGAAAGAAATATCTAAGAAAGTAGAATTATTGTTAACATCGAACAGAAAGTAAAAAAAAAAAAAAAACGATAGAGACGTCAAAAAGAGAGGAAAATTTGATTAAATATAAAGGGAACTAATAATGTAGCCTAATTTTTGTTTTGTTTCTTCTTGACACCAAATACAATGTGCTGCTTTTACAACTCAAACAACAGAGACAAATCTATTCAGCTAAACCAAAAACTCAATCCGGAACCGGAAGGTTCAACTCTTGAGGGACTCTAGCTTCAGTCAACTGCGTTATACTGCTGCTGTCTGAGACGGTGCTGGCTCGGCTGGCTGGTGAGAATGGTCTCTCCTCCATTTCATATACTCGTTAATCGCTGTTGTGCCGGACATGGTGAGTCCAAATCCGATCATAGTGGCTAACACAATGCACATAACCGGCTGCTTAACCTGCACACAAGTCAATGAGAGTTTGTGAGAATCAAGAACCAGAGCTTTAATGAAGTCAGTTTCAGAAGAAAATTTATCTGAGACAACAAATCTTACAAATGAGTAGAAGAGATGAGCGAAAAGGACCACGAAACCGAACTGAATGGTTGCGAAGATCCACACATAGTTCTTCTTCACTGTACCACATCTCAGGATTTAACTTAGAATACAAAGAAAAAACAAAAAAGTATAGTTTTGAAAGACTAAAGAACTCTTATATTTACCCATTGTTGTTGATGTCATCGATGCAAGAAGTCCGATAATGCAAGAGAACGGTAAAGCTATTGCAACGGCGCTTGATTTCATTTCCATAACAAGAAGCTGCTCGAGGAAACAAAAGTATGCCAGCATGCTTACAATGACAAGGATTGGCACATCTTGCCATTCGTTGAACTGTGAAACCTCGATATGTTCAGCTGCTCTAGACCGGTCCTGAGAATCCTGCACGCGGAGAAGAGTCACGGGGAGATTTTTCACCTCTTGTTTGCACACATCACATGTTATGTTCCCTTTAATGGTGAACCATTTAATGGTGCACGTTTTGTGGGCAAGAGCTAATTCCCCTTTGCACATACATTCCATCTTGAAAGCTTCTGAATCCTCTCCTAACTCAACCATACAGATTCTACACACAGCTTCTTCTTCAGGAACATCTTCTCCGCCATCATCCTCGTCATCTGAACACATATCACTAGATGTAAGGTGGGGTTTTGTTACACCGGATCAAAAGTGCCGCATCACAAAGACATATTCTGGAAGGTGATTTCTAACCATTGAGTTTACTCATTTTTGATGCCTGCATCATCTCTAGACTTTGAGTATCCCCACGAGATGGAGTGGGAATCACACGGAGAACCCCTAACGGCTTTACACTTCCATCTTTGTCGATGAGCGTTGGGACGGAGCGTGAACGGGGAATAGGCAGTGCATGCTCTCTATTCTAGTAACAAGAACAGTCAAATCAGTAATCGAAATACTCTACTTGTTAATAGTATTAACCAAGTTTTGAAGATAGGAGACTGACCATGAAAGTAACTTGATCAACCGCATAGCTCCCGTGCATGGACTCAGGATTTGAGTGAGCTATAGGGGTTACCGGCAAAGACTCTGCCTTCTTAGATTTTCTAGGAGTTAAGAGATTAGTGAGAGACCATGTTCTTGGAATGAGAGACTTATTATTATCTCTGCCATCAAACGCCAAAGACACCCCTTCCTCAGTATCTGCATTGTTGTTGTTCCGGTTTCTCAAGTTTAAGAGATTTTTCAGGTTAGTCCTGTTTCTTGACGAGGAGGATCCAACACGTCTCCCGATTCTAGGGCTTGACATTGGAGAGAACTTGAACCTTCTAGAAACAGGACTAGGAGTCAATGATCCATTTGCTCTCAAGAAATCACCATGAGTTTTTTCGTGTTCTCTTGATTCTATATCTAACACAAGGCCTCGCCATCTGTCCTGTTGGCTCGGTGATAACGTTTCTGTAATCTCAATAGAAACCCCATCCTGCAAAACCCAAAGTTGAAATTCAGGAAAAAAAATCGATTCTTTGACAAATCATCAAAACTCTGAGTCTCGCTGTTTCTTAATCAGCAATTAGAAGTCTATTGTATTTCAGAAATGTCAGCAATTCGAACGGAAAATCCGGAATCTATAAACCCTAAAATTATAAACCCAGAAAGCCTCGAGGTCTCAGCTAAATCAGGAGAAAGAAGCAAAAAGAAAAACATCGATTTCGATGATGATAGATACCCATGAAATAAAAACCACTGAAACTAAGTTAAACGAAGTATCTTCTGGGAAATTCAAAAACTTTGGAATTGAAGTTAAGAGTGAGAAAACTCACCATTCGGGCTGGAGAAATATCTTCGCGGGACCCATGTTCTATTACTTCGCGAGTTTTATCTTTATCATCATCCATCTTCCAGTTCAAACAAAATCCAGAAACGGTATAGTTAAACAAGCAAGAATCCCCGGAAAACAAATTATCGATCTTTTTTTAATTATTTACAAAAAAAAAGAGACAATTTTAAGGATAACTCTTCGGGGTTGCTTCGGTTTTGTTTTGTTTGCCATGTTTCTCTACTATATAAATTGGATTCGGCGGTTTTATTTTTTTCCATCTATTATTAAATATTATTCCTTAAAACATATATATGTTGTCAACGTGGTGTTTATATGTTTGACAACAAATTTTGGTAGTAAAATATTTACACATGTCAAAATCAGAAAAAAATAATGTAATTTTGAATATATTTTTCTAAATGAGAAGGGAAATTTTGATGTATTCATGGTTTGTTTCCAAATTCCAACACAGGCCAGTGATTTTTTCTCGTTTGGTTTGTCATAAATATTCTCTCCTTTGATTATTGTGTACACCTTGATAAATATTTTATTCAAACGGGAAAAAAGAAAAAAGCTTGTATTTTGTATATTATTAATATAAAATCTTTCTTCTTTTTACCAGCATTTGGAAAATGTTATATTCTAATAAGAATTATATATACGATTTGATAATTCAGTATTCACATTATCGTAATAGTTTGTCGCGGCCGGGAATACAAGACGATCAGGCGGGATTTCGGGTAGAGGAGGAGAAGCCGTTTCTGTCTCCGGAGGAGGAATGTTGGTCCTCCGTCTACTGTCGATATTCCCCATGATTGAATGATCTCAAACTCGTAAGCATATGATGGTTTGTGGATCTGAGAAACAGAGGAACAAGAGAAAGGTAAAATTGTGTATTGTGGACATTTTGTGGCCATCAGTGGAGTGTTGGTTCAACCGGGTTAGGAGTCGATTCTTTTTGCTTTTTTTTTTTTGCTTTTTAACCGAATATTCCATTTGACGTTCACTGAAAACCATAATTTGCATTTAAACCAGGTCTTATGGAAACCCTTATTTTCATTACTCACATGGCATATAAAATTTTTTTTTTTTGGTCGCGATTCTTATTTGTCGCACGTGGTATTTATGTTTCACGTCTAGATCGTCGCGCCTCTGATTAGAAAACATCTGAATGACGCGTATACTGCTTACTTTGCAGACACGTGCGGCGTGCCAATCTCAAAAAATTGATAAGTAGTCTTGTGGTTGATAAATGATACTCCCTCCTCGTTTCATTATTAATAATGTCATTTTAACACATTTCACACAGATTAAGAAATTAATAAAATATATAAATATATCTTTAATTATTATCTTTAAATAAGAGATAAAAAAAGAAATAAAAATAAAAAATTACATTGAAAATACAAAATAAAATTCTTTTTAAAACAAAAAATAAAATCTAAAACGAAGGGAGTACAAATAATTTCGGACTCTAATTTCCGGTTTAATTGTTGTTTAGACTGTCAAGATTTTGTTTACTGGTTTGTGGTCCGGTTTTTATGAAAATCTATCAAAATTGGATTGGAAAGCTTCAACATTCTTTAATATTTTCTTTCTTTTGTTTATTTTCATGAAATTTGAATATTTTGATCGTTCCTTATACCGTCCCATAGTCACATAGACATGAATGTGTGATGTGTGATATTAGGAACTGATCACCGAACTACAAGACGTGAAAGTTCCACAAATAGCTATTTATCATGAGATATGATTATAAATATACAAAAATCTCATCTTATACATTCATATAATAATAACAAACAAAAAAATCTACCTGACCAAATATTTATTTTAAAAAAAAAATTGATCATCAAACGTCTTTGATATCATGTTCTTGATCATCTTCTTCGGTCTCTCGTCCTTCCAAAATCGTCTCAAGAATCGGAGAAGTAGATGGCTTCTCCGGGAAAATTATCTGGGGAGGAGCCGCCTCCATCCACCACGCCACATCCATCTTCACCACCGTCAGATTTCGATCGCACCGATTATCAAAGAAACACATATTCGATCAATAGATTTGTAATTGCAGAATTTATTCACAATATCACGCTTTGTGTTGAACATGTGTTATTGTTTCAGAGATATATAAAGAGAGATAGAATGATTGGTTGATGTGAGAGTTTGACAAGTGGACGATCCATATTGAATGAAGCTGGTTGTTGACGATTTGGTCTTGTTTGCTATAATTATAAAATCAATGGATCCAACAATTTTCTAGAACCTTTTCTTTCTTTGCATTGCATGAGCAACACGTGTGTACCTTTACGTTCCTAAACGTTTCAATCAAATTGTCAAGATATTTTTTATTTGTGTCGCATGTCGCTTTTGTGCAGTTAAGCTACATTAGACGACGCTTTGCGCAAATAGACTGCTTTACAAATTAATTTAAACAGCACATTTGATGTGTTCATCTAAATACAATCCTCTCAAGTATTGACTAAAATCTGTTTTGCACGAGGAAATTATAAGAAGAATTTTCAATTTGATGTGTGTGTTTTTTTACTATAGATTCCTAACACTTTCAACCACATAATACTGGTACAATGGGTAGGATAAGTCTAAACGCATTATCAAACGTTTCACGTTGTGTACACAATTAATTAGGCCCACATCATATAGAGTATAATGCTCATACTTTTATTCTTATGGGCTCTCGACATGAGATTTAAATATTTTGTAAGAGCATGAGAAACCCATGAGATCAAAAAAAATGCGTAGAATGAAACGATACCCCAGAGTCCAGATATACATTTTAATCACTCTCTTTAGGTAAAGTAGCTAATCCTCGCCAATTAAATTACTCATATTTCTCTTGATTCTTGAATGTGAACATCGGGATCTTCTGCCTGTTTTTTTGTTTTCTTTCCTTTTTCTTGTTTATACTTTCTTTTTATTTATTTTGTTTAACATCTTTACAAAAAAAAATTTTGTTTAACACCTTTAAAAAAAAAATTTACAAATATTGAGAAGTACTAGTTATACATAAGAACTTGATCGATGAAAACAGATATCGAAATTAAGACGAATCTCGAAACTGAAAATAGAAAGACCTTATGTACACTTCAATAATGATATATACCATCTTCTTTTATATCGGAGTTAGATCGATCGAAGGAAAACATGCCACATGCAAATTTAATCAAGTATTATAACTAAAGTTACATTAGCAATCAATTGATATGTATATAAATTTAAGATGCCTTAACTTTTTAATATTTAGATTAATTGGAAAATTAGTCAATGACCTGAAAAGGATTGGATAAGATAAGGATAGTTGAAAGATTGCTATCGTTCTTCTTGCAATTCTCTTCCCTTGTTTTAATTTTCTTAACAAAAGGAATATTTTCTGAATTTTATATGTTACCTATGTAAATGGATACAAATACAATATTATAATATAGGCTGCATAACATAATAATATCATAATAACTGATAAGTAGGTGCCATGTTGTCACTAGACAATTCGATATTCTACTTTTTGCATAGAAGATTAATTCATTTATACAGAATTATTGGCACCTTTTGATCGAACATGCAGTCACCTAAAAAGTGAACTTATCACATCGCATAATTTTGGAAAATATTCTCACACTATCTGTCTACTTATACGATTATGTTTCACGAGTTGAGAGAAAGGATTAGATGTCACTAGCTAGATTCAGCAAACGATAATATATTGTTTGCTTGGTCGATTTTGGTGATTGTTTTTCATTGAACGTACTTCTAACCACAACAATATCCGTATGGGGGTTCCAACCCGTATAATGCATATGTTTTTCGGGAAAAAAAATCGAGATTAAATCCCAAGAGACACATTTAAAATAATACATAGATACATGAATTCTTATAATACATAGATACATGAATTCTTATAGAATTTTATATTTGTCAAATAAATATAAATAACAAATTTTCTATTTGTTCTTAACTAAAAAAAATAGAATTTTCTATTTGTTTATGTTTTTGGAGGGTGGACCAAGCTACGTCTAGTCGTCTACTCTAGTTAATTACTACTAATTCTATTATTATATCAATTTAAACACAAAACGATGTCATGATTTGATCAAACCCAATGAAAGTATATGTTGAATCTATGTTAGTCGGTTTAGATAAACGACAAACCAACCATGTCATGTTTTTCTGTATTTTTTTTGTTCATCAATTGATTTTGATGTACAATGATTGATTAATTTGTTTTTGAGTCGAATTTTTAATACACTAACAGTTACTTAGGTCCAAGACGTAGATCACTTGACAAATATATGACATTTTCCAGCTATTATTTGTTCAGCGATAAAACAACAATAGAAATGGCAAAAGTAGAAAAGATGTAATTAACAAATAAGATTGCGATAATACGGTTAAACGAGGAAGATTTGATATTTTTAATCACGTAGGAAACTATGCATTATAGATATCAATTATATATAGGGTGTATGAGGAGATATAAAAAGCCAAAGATAATTAATAATAAGCTCGATTATTGTCTTCGTTAACATTATTTTCATTTGTTTTTTTGTTGGTACTTGTGCTTTGTTATATATCCAAAGCTCCAATTATGGAGAGGTCTTTTCGGCCAATTATTTAATTGGCCACACTACTCTATTATTTAATTGCAATTGGTTCAACAGATACGCTCCTCTATTTGGCAGTTATTTTATACTATTTGTTAAAAAGACAAACTTCATAAACTTAGTTGCAAGAAATTAAAAAACATTCAAACAGAGTAGATGAGGATCAATAAAGGAAAATAAAACACATGAAGACTCGAAACTATTTATGACTTACTAACCTTCAAGTCTTCAACATAATTTATACTAGCTAGGAAATACTTGTGTAGATGAAGTAATTTATACTTTGAATTTGTTTTAGTAAGCTAATTAAATTGAGTACATTATACATATACATCTTATACGAGTATACATACAATAAATAGTCCTTTAATTTTCAGGTCATTGTACAAGAATAGTTAAATTATTATCATGATTATAATTATAATAGTTTCGTTTATATTTGATAGAACTGACATACGACGGATTATAACCAACTAATTTCAAATCTTTAAAAACTAATAAGATATGGCTGGCTTTTTCCCTTGATTAAGGATATATAGTATACAACTATATATACATATATTATTTATGATGTAACTGTATTCATTAAAACAAACTAACATAATGATCCATTGCATTTTCACCAGTCATGATAAACCATGGAGATGTGAATTATATCCAACTATTAATCACGGGTATTAGTTTACTGACACATATATAATGCATTGGTCATTGGTGTTTTCTGTTTATTTTTCTACAATAATGGCAATGAACGTCTATACAAGTATATATGACCCTAGCGAAAAGATTTATTCGAGACCCCACATGTTTTGCTATGATCAGATAATTCTCTAACGTAATTTACCAATTATAATATCCTATAGTATGATATTATCTAGTTTTTTGGTTATTGCATTTTCATTTTGTCCGTTATGTATCAGTAATTCTAGTAATTAATTATTATTTATTAGTATTACATGACATGATAACCCTTTAACAAAAAAAACCCAAAACCAAAAAATTTGTATATGTAATTATAGCTTGTCCGTTATGTATCAGTAATTATAGCTTGCATTTTATTTTGTATATGTAAAAAACCCAAAACCAAAAAATTTCAATATGACAACCTTTAAAAAAAAAAAAAGACATGAAACGTCTACATTAATGTACGTATCGGTGTATATATCTGGCATCTTTTGTCCATTCTCATAATTTCACATCAAGAAAAAGAAAACTTTGGGGACCTCGGTGACGTGTCATATTGACGCCTGAAAGGTGATGAGGTCCAGTGGGCCAGCTATTGCTGACAAGCGACATCTCACCTATCATTGGCCCACGTTTCTTTCCATAAAATAACGGGGAAACGGTCTATTTCCCCCCATAACTTTCATATAATACTATATCACCCTGAACTTTGAGTCTCGGTTTGTGTCTCACTAAAACAAAAGTTAAATAGATTATTCCCCTTAGTTGCAAAGTTCGAGATCTATTTCCCCTTCAACCAAAATTTCGAAATCCTTTTCCCCCCAACCCACGTTTTTAGTTGGTTACTGTATACCAAATAATCGCTAAACCAAAATTAACCTAACCTAAACCGATTACAACCCGATTACAACCCGTAAAAACCAATTAAAACCCACCCGAGCTCTAAACTGCAACCTAAAACCCGATTACAGCAAAATCCCCAAATCAGTTAGAACCCTAACCTGAGAAACGAACCCAGAATTCAAATTTCCCCAAATTGAGAAACCTTCTATCGAAATTGGAAAGCGTTTTCGATCATGGAGGCATTGGAGTGGAGAGAAGTACCTGAATTTCGAGACGAAGATTCCCATGACTCTTCCTCGATCTCGGCCACCATTTGATACTCCACTAGATGCGCCGGATATATTGCTCATCCTCCACTAGATTTGATTTTGAATTCGCGATTTTGATTTCGAATTCGCGATTTTGATTTTGATTTTGGAAAACTGAGTTTTAGGGTTTATATTCAATTTGGGGATTTTAATTAGGGAACGGGTCGGGGGAATGGGTCGGATCTAGGATCGGATTTGGTTTTTATTTTGGTTTTGTTTTCGGTCCAACACGTCTGGTTTACGGTTTACATGCGGAACCGATGTAAAACCATCGAAATTTTGGTTGAGGGGGAAATAGATCTCGAACTTTGCAACTAGGGAGAATAATCTATTTAACTTTTGTTTTAGTGAGACACAAACCGAGGCTCAAAGTTCAGGGTGATATAGTATTATATGAAAGTTATGGGGGGAAATAGACCGTTTCCCCTAAAATAACACTGTATATATATTTTCTTAACAGTGTATTTAATTAAATGAAATTATACTTTTAAGTTTTAATTATGAGAATTTAAAGAAAGTCATCAAATTGAACACAAACTTGAGTTAAAGAAAGACTAAATGCGCAAACAACAGCCCACGTGAAATCATTATTTAGTTGAAAACTAATAATGGTTAAGAATCACGGGCTCCAAGGTAAATGAGACACGTTAATATTTTAATGTGCAAAATACTTTATAGAAAAATTATATCACATTTTGACATGACTACCATTGTAATCTTTAACAAACGAAAAAACCTGTTGTACTCATCCACTAATTCAGTTTAAATTCTATAACTAGACATTTGAAATTAGAAAATGGGATTATGTTTTGATAAATTTTAGCTGTTTTATCATTTTTTGTTGGCCAACAGTTTTTCTTTTACCTTAGACAAATAATCTGGTTGACAAAAATAAATAGAATCGCAAAAGAAAATGAGTCATAATGGAAACAAATGAATCCCACAATCGCTATTTGTAGTATTTATTTAAGAGAACTATGAAGTGAATAAGTCATGTCCCTATTAGTCCACGTGAAGTAATCCGACGTGTCTGTTTTACTGAATAAGAGGTGATAATTCTCCGACGTGTCATTCAGCTTTGGGACAATCAGAATGGGCTATGTTCCCCTGCGGAGAATCCCACTGATATTGAGAAAACACTGCTTATTAGAAAAAAAAAACAAGAAACCACTATTTCATAACAGATTGGGTCAGATTCATTGAAATAAAAAAAAGTGCGAAGAAGTAG